TTTTATATAGAATCTGTAACCAGTTCAACAGGTTTTGAGACAATGCAAAAGGAGAGAAAGCAAAGAAAAAAACTYAGGGCTTTGGAGATGATTAATGCAAAACAAGAGGTTGCTTTAGCTGAGTGCTTCTGGCTCAAACAGCTCCTGCCAGTGTACCCAACAAAATACAAATAACAGGCAGCTAAGGGAAAAAGATAGCACTTACCTTCCTGTGGGAAGTCACAGCGCTTGCCCTAAGGCTGCTTGCTTAAGGAGGAGGAAGGCCCTGAGAGGAGCCTGTTATAGAGAGCGGGAGGGCTCTCCCGACGAGCCTCCACAGCTGACCTCAGTGCACCTGCCTTGGCCGCGGTACAGAGCAGGTGCTTCGTGCCAATGCCGGTTAGATCTATGTAAGGGAAAGAATACAGGGTTTTTAAGGACCCCCCTTTGTAAGTGCTGTTTTCTGCTAATCCTTACTGAGGTTCTGCGTTTCTTAGCAGGTTGTACACTGTTGTTCTGGTGTAAGCACTAGGCCTCCCCACACGGGTTTCCACAGGCTGTCCCAGCAGAGCCCCTGCGTCCCCATCCCAGGCTGCTGCAAGGTGCCCTGGGCACAGCGCCGTGGTGCCCTTGGGTGGGACGGCTGCAAGGGCCCCTGTGGCCTCCTCATGAGCTGCCCTTGGCATCAGCAAGTTTCCGCCTCCCTTGCTGGGCACCTTTTCTGTGCACCTGCACTGCTGCCCTCAGCGTGAGCGAAGGCGCCGCTGGCTGCCAGGGCAGCTGCTCCTGCATGTGCAGAGCTGAGCAGTGTGTCTGTCATTGGGGTTTGGTTCTMCCAGGGACCCTTTTGCTGTGGAGAGTCGAGCTTGGGTCGGGCTCCRGGTCGGAGTCTGACCCAGGAGCTCACTGTCCCCAACTGAGCKGGGAGAGCCACCACTCATCACACGGCCCCTTTCCCTTGGGAGCAGTGGGCAGAGCATAGAAATGAGCGCCGGAGATCAGCATTGCCATGGCCTTGAGGTTAGGCTGGGGCTAGGACAGCCTGGGGCGTTACCTGCTGTGCAGTGACCTCCCGTTTCCTGGAGCTGCCTTGGGCACAGGGCATAGTGCGTTTTTCTCAAATAGCTTCACTTCATAGCCTGGTTGCTTGTAGTGGAATAAACTACGGAGGCAGCAGCTGCTCTGAATGCAGCCCTGCCTGTGCTGATGTACGGCTATGCTGTACAGCCCCGCGTCTCCAAAGCAGGAACTCCCTTGTGCAGGTTGTAGGTATGAGATATAGGACCCATCCTGACGTGCCCGTTAGGACTTGCTGTGCTCACAGCCTGGGCACAGTTGGCGCAAGGTTGTTACCAAGGCCTGAGCCCCAGGCRGCCTTGCTCTCCAGCCTGTGAGAGGGGCATGGGAAGATCCTGGAAGTGCAGCCAGACTCCGTGAAGCAGCAGGACACCCATCTCCATTAGTAAGTTAGATTTGGCTTTGAAGGTCCGAGTCTTAGCAAGGAAAGTTGCTACCTAGGCCACGTAGCTGTGCTGAGACTGGTGGCAACTTGCTGTCCCAGAGCAGCCAGTGACAGACTTGGAGCTGCTGCCTGTCYTAACATCCCTTGCGCTTTGTAAAGCTGTTTTTGGTGAGCTAAGGAAATGAGCTAAGGCAAACCACTTTCACGATTTCCCATCAGCTTATCAAACTTCTTATGGTTGGGGGAATTTGTTGAAAAATCTCTATAGTCACATGGTGGGAATGTCCTGGCTGAAGCAGAGGCCACGTGTCACAGCATGGGGGACATGTGTGATAGGGCAGTAAGAAGGACCCAGGGCTCATATCCCGTGCCTCCCAGAGCTGATTGGGGACTGGACAAGGAGGGGAGAAGGGAAAGCGCTTTTGGGTTTTAACATACTATTACAGCTGTGCATAATAGTCTAGACTGCGTTAGGGAGCTTGTATATTTTAAATGGCATTTTAGGGAAACTGAACTAGCCTTGCACTGCACAGAGTCGGATAGAGAGATCAGTGGGACTGTGAACATGTTCCCCACCAAAGGATCCCAACCCTTTTTGGTGGTTTCCCACTATCTGTAATTATGGCCTTGTCCCTGGGGTCTCTCCTGCACCGAGATGCCCCCTTCCCGCCCCATCCTGCACTGAGGCTGCCAGACCCGCAGCAGGAGCAGGAGGCGCTGGGCAGCGTCGTGCCCAGGAGGATCTCCCGGGGACAGGTGCTAAGGAAGGGCCCCCTTCTCCTCTGGTCCCTCCTTTGAAATGCCCGGGGCAGCAGTAGCTTGGTGCTGGTAAAGGCTGCCCCGGGTGTCACCTACCTGTGGCAGAGGAAGGGGTTTCGCAGGGCACCCTTGGCCRCCCTCCCTGCTGCCCCAGCCTGCCCCACAGCTGGGCCGGGCAGGAAGCTCTGGCCACGGCCACGCTCCCGCCTCAGGGTGGCCATAAAGCCGGGTGCTTTCCCACCTCTGGGTGAGAGCCTTCCTGCCACGGGAAGAGTGGCAGGCAGCCTGGCAGGGAAGTGGAGCTGCGCCTTTCTGGGCCTTTCGGCAGGGACTCCCCCCGCCCCTCGCAGAGCCTCAGGCCGCTGATCTCGCTGATCTTTGCTTGCAGGGGAAGCTCCTCAGCTGTTTGTAACACCAGAAACAGTCATGCTGTGGTAGGTRGAAGGCTTGAAACTCTGCTTGTCTTCCAGGGCTGTGACTCACAGGAGATACCATGTGCACATCTCCATCTAACACAGACTCTAGTCTGGCTGGCTGTTCTTTCCTTTCTTTATAAATGTGTTTACATAACTCTGAAGCCCAAGGCTGGTGGTAGGAAAGCTGCCGGACGCAGCTGTGGGCCAGGGTCTCTCCTCAGGGTAACGCAGGTTGGGTGAAGGACCGAGGACTTCAAGGAGAAGGACCACTGAGTCAAACATGCAAAACCCAAGAAAGCAGAAGAGCCGCAGCGAGAGGAGCCAACCTTTAGCTGCCCAGCCAGAAGAGAGATGTGCCAAAAGCACAAGCTAGCCCGGGCCAGGGCCTGTTAAAATAACAATATCCTCARATATTCAAGGATAAGAAACCAACGTGTTGTTTTGTCTGAATCTGCATTTCTTCAGCACCTGAATAAAGACCAGCTGGTTTAGACAGAAGAGCCTTGTGTTCACTGGCTCCTGCAGCAGGGCAGCCCGCAAAGCGACAGGCAGTTCCTTGTGGAGGTTCCCGCAGGAGGCAGCCGGCACCTCATCCCAGCCCTGGCCCCGTGGGTCCCCGGCTGTGGTGCCGGCCACGCGGGACAGCAGCGAGCGGGGGCTCCGGGCCAGCTTCCTTGGCGCTCCTCTTCACTCAGCTTGCAAGGACCACGTACCACAGACTTCAGTTGCAGGATTTTTTTTAATGGAAAAGACTAATCAATCTTACATAAATATCAATTAGTGATAACAGGTCAGTTGAACAAGTAAACGAATACATATGTAACCCCCAAGGTTTAAAGGCTCATAATGGACTAACAGAGTAGCACACATGGACAACTACTATTAGAGGTGGGTGGCACTTCAATCACCCTCACTTGCTAATCAAAAGAGGCTACTACTGGAGTTAGTGACAGTGGAGCCCTCCATGCAGCAACAAGCACACACTGGGAGGGGACAAATGGCCTTCAGAAGTATCTTCCTGCCTTCAGCAGAAAGCCCCAACTATTCAAGCGACAGCGGTGTCCAGTGGCTCACTGATCGGAGGTCCCTTGGGGTCTAGTTCCAGACACGCAGTGTCTCCTTCTCCTTCTAAAGGCTGATTTCCCCCTCCTCGCCCCGGTTCAAGCRGACAGGAACACGTTCACCCTGTAAAGTGGTATCATGGCTCGAGCTGACTGATCATCTCCTCTGTGCACCGCAGGGAAGAACTGAAACCACTTCCTCGTGGGTGGCTTTGGGGATGGGGCGCAGTGGAAGCTGCTGTGCACGGCTGTTACGAGGAATTCGTGTAGGTGACCAGAAGCTGCACCGCAGGCTGCAGTTTTCCATGCAAGCTGGCAAGCATGAGCCACATTTCCATCTAGTGTCTCTGCCCTTTCCCAAGGGGCCCAAAATCTCACATATGAAGGTGTCTGTTACTCACCACATTCACTGCTACTGGGATCAGTTACTCCCCCCCAGCTCTAAGGGAATCCACAGCTCAAGGAGCTTTAAATTGGTTCACAGTGGGATCCACACAGGTTGCCACAGTGGTGTTCTCCCATTAAACAGTACAGAAGGCACCCAGTTCCCCCATCTTAACTAGGATGCCTGCTTTGCAGCGGCTTAGTCAAAGCAAGTTAGTCATAAATTACCTAGAACTAGTAGAAACGTACACCTTTCATCGTATAGCTTTTTTCAGTGGAATACAGACTGCTGCAGAGAGTAGGGGACACAGGTTCTCAGTCTACTGCTGCATGAAAACTACCCCCCAGAAAAGCCTGGCAAGCCAGCTCTGCTCTTTAACAGACCCAAGTCTGCCCCCTTCTCTGAACAGCTCACAGATCTGCAAGGCAGTTTTCACACAGAACTAAGTCACCAATTCTCCTGTCCCACGTCAGGTCCCCTAAGTTCCCATCGCTCTCCAAGTGTCAGCAGGGAGACAGGCCAATAGGAGACACAAACAAATTAAATGAGCAGCCGCCCTGTAAGAAATTGCTTCCTGCTGCGGCCGAAGCCACCCTGAGCCCYGTAAGCCAGGCTCCAACTCACAACAAAGTTGTAGCAGCTGAGAGAAGAGCACTTGCAAAGTCAATGCCAAAGGTGGAGGCTTCACAGCACCAGAGATTTCGCTCTATACCTGCACTGGCTTTCAAGTGACAACCCAGTAGAGGGGATTCACAAAGTCCCATAGCAGAGAGGAATTTACAAACACCTCCATTGTGTCAGTTTGCTTATGCTCAGTGGGTCTACGTTTCAGAATTAATCATAACAAAAAGGCATTTTTCTGCACCATAACTCTGTCATATGAATATTTTTGCTTTTTGTTATAATTTTGGAAGAAAAAGCAGACGGCCAAACACAAACACAAGAATTCATCTGGCTGCAGTCACTCAGCATGGATGTGCGATTAATCAGCAGGAAGGGGACAATTCCAACGCTTCGGAGTCTTCACATCTAAACAAATTTAAAATAGGGTTATTCTCTCATCTCCRATAAACGGGAAGTAACACTTTTGGGTAAAAGCATGTATAAGGCACACTAGGAAAAAGTCATACTAAGATGCTTTTCAGAACCCAAGACTCTTCTATTTTAGGTTTTGATGTATGCTTGCCAAAAGGGGAGCTTTCCACTGATTTCATAAACAGTGATAAAGTTATCCTGGCAGACAGCAAGACATGACCCCACCTGTAAATGCACTGTTAAGATAAGAGAGTAGCTGCCTAGACATTCAGGCATTAAGTGCACCTCTTAGCTACAGTAGAGGTTACCAAGATTGTACCAAGAGCTGATCAGTCCAATAGTGATTTATTTCAAAACGTGACTCCCTCCCCAGCTGGGGACTGAATGAGAAGGAATAATGGAAAAACAGAGCAGAGCAAGCAGGTACAAAGGTGACTAGGGAAATCACAGGGCTGCTAGCCACTGGATTTGGGGAACTGAGAAGCTGGCAGYTGCATCCCTCGGTTCCATTACATTTAGGTGGGGAGCTCTAGCCCAAGCCCTRCATCCTACCTGCAGAGGAGTCTGGTACAGCCATTTGTCTTTGTCTCCACTCAGTTTCATACAGGCAAAAAGGTCACAAACTGTAGGGAGTCCGAAGTCCTGAAAGAGAAAATCCCTTTTATTACTGGTATCTAAATAGAAGTWAAATACATTCCAATACATCTTCAAATTCTGTCAAGTGTTCACAGAAACTGCRTGTTAGGATTGAGATGAATACTTTGTTCATTTACTAGGACCACCTAGACACCAGAATTAACTGCTGCTTTACGTTCAGTGCTGTCCTCATTGCTGAAATAACTAAGAAATCACTGAACCCAGTAGAAAAGACACCTAGAAATCATCTTTCAGTATTCCCCAGGAGAGTTATGAAATTACGGAACTGGAGAATTCAGAACAGAGCCCTCGGAGACGGGCACACACTCACTTGTGCTTTCTTGCGCAGCAGCCATTTATCTTCCACGGGAGGCGGCTCGGCGTTTTCCAGGCTGTTTGACGTCAGCACCCAGCTGTTTACGTTCAGGGGCAGGTGGAACGGAGCCAAGAGGTCCAGGAACGGGTTCTTGAAACTATTATCTGCTTCTTCCCTGCTGGCCTTTTCCTCTGCACGTTCCGCTCCGTGCTCCGGGCGGGCTAGCCAGCTGGCGAGGGGCCGCTCGAGCAGCGCCTTGAGGGGCTCCGCTGTCTCCGCTGAACGATCCGCCTTCTCGGCGGACAGGGCGCCGCGGTGCGAGGGGTGCAGCCAGGCGCCGCGYGCCGCCGCCTCCTCCACGGCACTGGGAGCCGCTGGCAGGGCCACGGGCACCCCGTTCTTGTCCCTGGCGTCCCTGCGCAGCAGCCAGGCGCACAGCGCCTCCCGCCCGCAGGGCTCGTCGCACACGCACTCGGCCAGGCTGGCGCACGGCTCGTTGGCCCGGCACACCTCCTGCACGGTGAACGGCGCCGGCGGCGGCTGCAGAAGCCAGGCACTGGCAGCTGACGCCGCGGCGGGCGCTTTCTTGCCATCGAGATGCTCGTTGAGGCACTTGAGGTTTCCCAGGTTCTCGATTTCCACGCCTTTGGCCTGGCTGCCACAACAGCTGGTACACGCTTCGGCTTTGGCGAGCCAATCACTTAGACGGAATTCTTCCTTAAAAGGTCTAAACTCATTCTTCCATCTCTCATCCGAAGCACTATTTCCATCTTCTGTGTCAGACGTTAGCAGCCAGTCGGAGAGGTCCATCTCTTCTTGCCCCAAGGACTCCAGTTCCTCAATCTTTTCAATGGAAAAGGTGGAGCTGGAGGTCGAGGTGGAGTCCTTGCGGCCCCGGGAATCTGCCTTCTGAGTGGCATCGTGCTGTTGATTCTTCAGGAGCCAGTGCTCCAAATCTTTCAGATTTCCCCAGGCTTGCTCAAAATAACAAACTTTGGGCGAATGCAAATCCTAGTAAAACACACATTGAAACGTGTTTAGTAACGCTGAAAGACAACGTTCAGTTATTGTTTGCACAGCTGTAGATCAGAGTGCACTGAGCATAAATGCAGAACTACAAGCTGAACGCGAAGCAAGGAGGAGACCAGAATTACAGAGCTCCCTCCACACCCCCCTGCCCCTTCCTCCGTGTGACGGGGAGCGACGGCACCGAGGGCCGACCTACCTGCTTGGGGTCTGCTGCGCCCAGGGGCTTCTGCAGCACCCAGTCCTCAAGGTTGGTGCTGGGCACGTACGGAGCCTGGCGAACGCCCCCGGGGCTGCTTCCGAGTAGCCAGTCGGCCAGCGAGGCACCCACTGTCCCGTACAGGGCCTTCTGCACAGAGAGGGGTCTCAGTTACAGGAGGACCTACCTGCTCAAGCAATCTGGGCACTCAGCATGCTGAAGCAAAAGGAAATCATGGAGGCCTTTCTCTCATGAAAGATTGAAACAACAAAAAAGGCACACCAGCATGACTCTGGATCACTGCCCCAAAATACTGCTTCGTATTTTTCAGTCCCTTCAGAGAGCAAGACAAGAAAGAAACAAGAAAGGGAAGCAGCACCACGCAGCTCTGATAATGCGCAATCCCACCCCAACTTTCCTTCTTCCCAGAACACTCCTCCACTAAGTTTCAACTGTCCTCTCAACAATGAAGCAGAAGCTGTTACTCAATCAAGCCAGCAAGTTCTCCTTTCACCAAGTCTTGCTCTTACCTGTTCACAGTTCATTAGGGTGCAATTCTGCCCGTGAAACCAGGGAGAACTATTCTCTCTCTCTGAGGTCTGCTGTAAGAAAAGTAAAGTACCAGTCAATTGAGATCTCAATTTTGTCCAATTGGTAAGGTCAATTCTAAATAAAGCAGAGGTAAAAGCACCATTGCAAATAATCAGTTCTTTCTATCTATCTGCCTACAATATACAACCACTGACATCAATAATATCTGAACATGGATTTACAGTTGCTGGTGAAGCAAAGAACACTGCCACCACTTGTGCAGTCTCTGCCAAAATATATCACAACAATACGGACATTACCAGACCTCACCTGGTCAAAACCACACCTAAATGCAAAAATTAATAAACCACATACATATTCAGCAGCTAGAACAACCTGGTTTATATACCATATCCAGTCAACTTGTAACTATATTAAAAAAAAAAGTCACTTGGAATATATTACACTGCTGCTTTGAAAAAAGATTTTTTGGGGGAATTACTGTGATCCAGACAAGCCCTGCTGCTTACCATGGTTTTAATGGAGCCAAATGAGGTAATAGCCTGGCGAAGGTAAGATGTATCGGCCTCGAAGTTCAGGACAGAAGACTCCTCTGGTTTAAGAGTAAGACTTCCCAGTCTGAAAGACAGTTGCAGAAAATGAAAGTTACTTTATTCTGTACCTGCCCTGCTTTAGGAATTGGACCTGGATTTCATAAAAAGCCTTCCAAACTAAAGTCTTTGCAATAATTAACTAAAGAAAAACTTTTCATGTTTGTGCCAAAACAAGGGGTGCCCACCTACAAGCAAAAAAGGAGAGTGTCAGCGAGAAAAAAAACAGATGTTTCCTTCTCATTTCAGTTACCATTAAAAAAAAAATGAAATAACCTATACTACTAATTATAGTCTTGCTCTTTGACTTTAATCTTAAAAAAATTGATGAGCGGAATCACATCAAAGACTACTTTAAAAATCTTATTTGTAGGAATCTTTAAGGATGCATAAAAAGAAAATGTGTGAAAGGCAAGTTAAATCTATTGCTAACTCTATTATAATTAAAAAATACAGATTGATTTCGACTTAGCAATTTAACATGCTCTGCAACATACTTACCTCTCCAGGCAAACTGAAATCTGGTTTGCCAGCTCGTTGCTGTAGGAGCGCTCCAGCTGGTGGATAAGGCAATTGAACTGTCCCAAGTACTGCATGGAAGACAACACAGCGCTTACTGTTTGGCCTCGCAGGGTGCAGTCAGACAACAGCCGCCCAGCGCGCTGGCAGCGAGCGGGGCTCAGCCGGCTGACCCAGTCTGTCCTGTCCCGACCTGACTGTCTTACCCAGTAGAGCTGCTGGGCCTGCTGCTGCAAGGCCTCCTCCTTGAGCTGCTGGATGAGGTCGACCTGCTCGAAGAGCCAGACCTCGCGGCTGCGCAGGCACTCCAGCTGCCGGCTGATGTGGCTGTGGATCTTGGCCTTCACCTGCGGGCGACACGCGGCACCTCTGAGCACCCCGCGGCCCCGGCTGCGCCCCACGCACAGCCCCTTGCGCGCAGCAACGGGGCACTTGGGACCCATCTATTTCTCAAGCCTTCCTAASGCAAACCGCAGGCACTCGTTAAGCCGCATGACTCACAAATGAGTGCAAGTTCCAGGGCAATCTCTAAAGGAGTGTCAAATAACACTGTCATTTGCAACGTCTCTATGTGCGAATGTTTAAGCCTAGAGCTATTTCCAGGTATTTTCTGAAGTAGAAAAAATAAAACAGAGCCTCCCTTTAGCAGCTTCAGCACACCTAAGTACTGCCTGCAGTACTGAAATGCCTTCAGCAAGAGCACAACCACACTGCACAGTGAGATGCACAGCAAGATGCTTGCTCTGTCTAAGGAAATTTCAGTCCAGCATCGTATTGCACAAAGTAATACACTTTGGAATAAACAGAACTGATGCTGAAGCCACATTGCTTTACTTTCAGATTAAATTACCTCTCTCCAGTTGTCTTTAATCTGTTGTTCGGCCTTGACAATCCCAGAAATGGCCGTCTCCAAGTCCTTCCTGGCCTGAAGGCACTTTGCCAGAGTCTCGCTGCCGCAGGAATTCCGGCTTCTGTCTTGTGGTGGACTCATCCTTGACGTGTTCCTAAAACAAGATGAAGAGTCCTTTTTAACAGTTTCTCTTCTTCTTCAACAGAAGGYGGCAATCACGTGAAAATCCGCAGTTATATATGTGTTTGCTAGAAAGGCAAACAAGAAAACCGAGTACCCTGCACCACCGCGAGCCTTCTAGACACGGCTAAAAGCGGAGCCGGCGCCTCTCCGAAACCCTGGCACGGGAATTATCGCAATCACAGGAAACCCACAGCCCTCTGCCAACAGGCTCAACCGCAGGAGCTTGAGCAACCCTGCCCGGCGCGCGGCCGCCCGGTCACACGTGCGACGAGCGGCCCCGCAGCCGCTCCGGGCACCGGGCACGGCGCCGCTCACAGCTCCCTCGAAGCCTCTCACATGCGAGACAAACCGAGCTCAGGGTCAGGAGCCGATAAACTCCCTGCTGAGACGCAGCTCTAACGCTTCACGGAGCGTCCCGGGCCCAGGCTCACAGAGCTGCTTGCTGGTTTTGTTAGGGACAGAGCCTGCGGTGACCCAGCTTCCACACAGCCTCAAGCAGGAGGAGCTCACACGTGCRGTTCCTGCAGAAGTTACACAAACAAGGACTAGGACGAATAAGGACTTTGCCAGACAGGCAAAAAAGCTAAATACAGATGTTTTAATAAAAACAGGAAGCAACAGCAGCACTTTTTCTTGTTACTTAAGAGCTTCAACCCTCCTATTCAGATTAGTGGAATTCCTGAAGCACCGTCTTAACACTGAGTAAGCAATTTATTTAGCAAGTTAAAATGCCTCCAGCACAGGCTTCTATGACAATTCACAGCAGACTCAGGCAGTTAGAAAGCACAAACGTGCCCACATAAACACCTCAAGGTTTCTCCCCCACGCACGCCGGAGACAAGTCGAGCGTTTTGAACGCGACAACCACCCCCCGAGCTGCGTTACTGGTCTGCAACCTGCGAGCTCCACGGGCTCCTTCCTCCCTATCCCCGCTCCTCCGCCAGGGAACACAGAGCACATACAGGCTACCACAGAAGGTTCCTTGAAGTCATTTTCTAAACTCGTGTCCGTTCTGCACTGCATCACGCGGGTGCCGATGGCCGCACCGGTCCCCAAGCCGAGCCATCGGGACCAGCGTTAGCTTCCCACTTGCACAGGGCAGCACGGTCAGTTCGGTTCCACAAGCCCCGCATCCCTCATCCCGCTGGCGGTTTCCCGCAAGGGAGGAGCTTGCCCTTCTCCACAACCTTAAACCCGACCTTAAACCCGACCTGACTCCGCGCTGGTGCCGCAGGCCGGGACACGGTGCCGCGGTGCCAGCGCAGCCCCCGTGCTCGCAAGCAGCCCCGCACCGGAGCCCGCGCAGGGCCGAGCGCACGGCGGCAGCGGGCACGGACCCGAGCAGGGCCGTGGGCACGGGCACGGCACCGGGCGCCCGCAGCCTGCCTGCCTGCCTGCCTGCCTGCCTGCCTGCCCCCGTCCCTCGGTCCCTCCCGTCCCTCGGTACCTGCCGCCGGGGCCGCCGCCGCCTCCCGCCGCCGCCCGCGCCTTTATGGGCGCCCGGCGGCCGCCCCTCCCCGCGCCCTCCGGCGCCTCCCTCCCGTCCCGTCCCGTCCCGTCCCGGCGCTGGGGCTCCGTGGCCGCGCTCGGCAGCAGCACCACGGGCTGCCGCGGCGGCACCGACGCCGGGCCGCGCAGCAGGAACGCGGCCGCCCGGGCGGCAGCGCAGCGCGCCGGGCAGGGGCCGCCGCCCGAGGAGCCGCCCGCGGGGCCCGGCCCGGCGCCCTCCCGCACGGCCCCGCTCCCGGCCCCGCCGCGCTTTCCAGCCTCGGACCTTTCCGTTCGCACCGAGGCACGCGGCCCGTGCACGCGCTCACACCGCCGCCAGGGCCCGCACGGAGGCCCCGCGGGCCGGCTGCGCTCCCAACCGCCGCGCGCTTCCAAACGGGGAGCCGCCGCGGGGTGCGCGGGCCACGGGCCGGGCCCTGCTCGCGGTTCGGTCCCGGCCCCCCGGGCCCGGGAACGGCCGCGGAGGGTCGCCGGGGCCGAGCAGGCCGCAGGCGCGGGTTTAACGGCGGGTTTAACGGCGGGTTTAGCGGCGGGTTTAGCGGCAGGTCGCGGCGCTCCCGCCGCCCGAGCCCCCGCGCTCCCCCCGGCCGGCCCCGCGCCCCGCTCCTACCGGCGGCCGCGGCTCCCTCGGCGTGGCGGGGCGGGGCGGGGGCTCGGCCGTTCTCGCGAGAGCGCCCCGCCCAGGCCGCCATGTCGCGCCCGCCGCCATGTCGCGCCGCTGCCCGGTGGTGGTGGCGGGGTTTCCCCACACGCTCAGGTCCGAGCGCAGCGCAGCGGCCGGCTCTGACACACGGGCTCCTGCTGTTGATATTTAGCCGTAACCACGTTACTGAGCTGAACACGACAGTGACATTTGTGTCACTGACAGACACCGCCCTGGTCCCGCAGCGAGAGCCCCYGTGCTGGCTGCAGGGCTCGCTGGGGCAGCCGGCCCCGTTCCCTGCGCAGCCTGGGGCCGGGAACGCTCCTTCCCACCCCGCGAGCCCGTCCGCACTGCGGACACGAAACACCTCGTGCCCTCGGCAAGGCCACAGGCCAGCAGCGCAGGGCCTTGATGCTCGACTCAGCTCGTACAACAGGAAKGAGGGGGAAAGGAGATTAATGTGAAAATTAATCCTCAGTAAGGCTCTGTGTACACTACACCGTTCCTGGATAATTTTAAGGACAGATGTGGGATGAGAGAGATGGGACACATAAAAAGTCATAACATTAATAGGGAAGTTGATCATCAAGTGTAGAGGGCCCTGCTAAAGCTGGTTCCCTGAGCACGGTGTGAGGGGAGGCCCTCGCACACGGCGCTGGGCTTTGAGGACACTTCACGTGCMCGTTCATGGAGAGGGAGTAGAGCAGTGCCCAGTTACGAGACAGGAATGTGCAGTGGCTTTAACCCATGGTCCCTGAAAAACCTGTTTATTCTCAGAGGAACACGTGGCAGACGACCTTCATTCTGCCCTTTGCTCGTGGTATTTATACATTTTAATTTTAGGTGGATAAAAATACTATATTACCAGAGAGGTAATCKGGTAGCTCTCATTTGAGGTGCAAAGTGGCTTGTTGAAGAACAGAGATCCCTGCTCACTACAATACGTCCCTTCCACTTTCTCAGGAACGCCAGCCTCATTCCTTTCCAAGATCAGTTTTAGAAAAGCCTGGCACTACATGAACCCATAATTACAGCAGGGTGAGGTTGGTGCTGAACAAAGCACAACAYTGAGCTAACACAGACTGCAGTGAAAACAAGGAAGAAAGGAGCACATAGCCAGGCTCCAGCTTAGGCACAGACCTTGCAGGGACTTTCTGCGTTCTCCAACACTCGCCAGGCTTTGCAGACACRCGCACACGAGGCAGCGCTGAGCCTCCCTGCGGGCTCGAGCCGCGGCCCGGGCTGGGTGCAGTGGTGGGTGCAGGAGCCCACGCCGGGGCAGGACAAGCGGTGGCGTCGCCCGCAAGGCGCAACCCAAAGCAGGTTGTCGTGGGGCAGCTCCGAGCCCAGCTCTGGGCCTAGCTCCACTCTGCGCACAGCGCGTAGGGCGAGGGGGAGCAGGGAAGCTCGGGGAGCTGTTTGTGCGGCCAGGCCCTGTGGCAGCCCCCAGCACCGGGCTCCCGGCCAGCACCAGCCCTGCCCTCCCCTGCACCGACAGCTCCTGACACAGATCCATTGGACCTTCATTGTTACCTTGCGTTGCGYGGAGAGCAGAGCCTTCGAGAGCCTCCCCGGCTCGGGAGGGCTGGCTGCTCCGCAGGGTTTTGCTCCCGAGGGAGTAGGAGGTGCTCGGAGCAGGACGGAGGGTCACATCATCATCTCCTYGCTGATGTCCTTCTCCCCGACTTTCCAACGTTTCATTGACGTGTTGTCCAAGTTGCATAGCCTGTAATATACTGAAAGGCGGATAATAAGATAGATGACATCTGTTTAGGTCATATACTAGATAGGATTAAGGCTTCTCAAGACTCACAAGCTCCAGCTAAGTGCTATCAGAGCACGTTGGCCCATGTACGTGTGGCAGCTATCGGCTCACGATCCAGCATTTCTAGAGCTTGAGAAGGGAAAAAGCTGGATGTCCAAATGACGGTAGCAAAGGACATCCCTTCCCCAGCTCAGGCAGCAGCAAACGCCACCGGCGGCTGCAGACGCCACACGGGCCCCGCTGCAGCCTCTTCCTCACAGAGGGTCCGCGGCAGCCCGAGACACCTTTACATCGTCAGCCTTTGAAAATAAGCTCAGGGTGCATTCTTTTCTTGCTCTTGCAAATCTGTATTTTTGAATACACAGAAAAAAAAAAAAAAAAAAAAAAACTATGCAACCAAAAATATATTCTTCTATCCTGAAGTTCCCTAAAAAGGAAGGACAAAGCTGATGCAGCAAGTTCCACTGAGTTACTTCATTTGGACCGTGGAAGTTGATTGGAAATATTTATTTCCATCTAGTAAACCTTATGCTCCCCCTCCTCTCCTGCCAATTATCAGCAGAACTGAGCACTAATAGACTGCTTTCATTTTCAAGGAGCTTAAGAACACAAATTAATGACCCYCACATGTCTGAAGGGAACAGATGGTAATGAAGAATTAACACAGCAATTTCTCAGCTGGAAACCCTGGTGAGGGAAGGGGCCAGTGGCCTGCAGGACACTGGACCCAGCCCTGCACTGGGAACCAGGGCGCTTGGCTCCAGTTCCCTGGCAAAGATGTGGGTTTATTCCAGCCTCACTGAAAATGGCTTTTCCTAAACAAACTGGTAGTTTCTCTTATTTCATCTCTAAGAGGGAACAACATCCTTCAGGAGGCCCCTCACCTCAGCATGTCCAGACAGGTCATTCCTGCTTGGGATTTAAAAGACTAGGACTATCCAATAATGCCATTAGTCCAACTTGCCATTATTTCTTACTGTTTTTAAGCAGCAATCAAGAAGGGCTGTATTCCCCAGTACATGCACTGCAGATGCTCGTTTTCCTTCTTCCCCCCTCAGAAACCTCCCGGCCGGTTACAGCTGGACACCAGGCACCAATGCTGGCTGCATCTCCCCCACCACACTCCCGTCCCAGGGGACCAGGAGCAGTTTTGCATTGAAGCCTTTTGCCTGTGTTATATAACGCACACAATTCCTTAAGCCAGGAAAGAAGCTTATTCTAGGGCAGGGGGGCCTAAAGCAAAACCTGTGTAGGAAGGATGGGATTTGGGGCCATCCTAAGCACCATTGGCTCATGRTCCAAGCTGTAGCAAGTAAAAGGGTCTCCTTCAGCAGTGTGAGGACAGAGGATAATCCAGTAAAGTTCTCCCATTTAAATATCAAAGTCGAATGTGATTTGGATTTTCCTAAATTTGAAAACATTCAAAAAAGCAAACAAATGAGATTCAGTTCTTGCTGCAATACTAATCCTAATTCTTAAATATTTACAAGAATGACACTTGAACAGAAGTCTAACATGAGAAAGCGTTGGACAATGTGTAAAATTTGTAATTTAAAATAATATTTGGAATCCAAATGCAAAGTGATTCCATATTCCCTTTAAGAGATGTGCATCATACAAACGTACCAGCTTACATTTTATCCATACAGTCAATATCCAGAATTCTTGTTCCTAAATCTCCATTAATATCCCATACATTTTAATCCTTTCCAAAAGCAAAGGAAATCCTTGGACACAAATGCTATTTTGTTMCCAACAATGACTCAAATTAGTATCCAAAAAGCTTCAATGTCTCAAATGAGGGAACATCTGTTTTTCTTCATTAGCAAAACATTGGTGTCCTTTCCCCCTGCTTGACATATGATATTTTTCTCATCCAATCTTGGTAATGTAAYAGCAGATCTCTACTTTTACACAAGTAAAGCTATTACAAAAGTAACTTCAGAATCAAGGGTCATTATGAAAAACTGGAGGCTCCCTGCTATAAAGGCAGGTAAATATTGGGTCGTATTCCACTCGCTTTGGACTAAATTGGTGTAAAACTCACTGAGCTCAGACTTGGTCAAAGCCAAYGCTGGAAGGCCTGAACAAAGTCTACTCAACTCAATGGGAGTTTCACAGTGCTGAATTCTACTTCACCCAGAAATAAAAATTTCATCTTGAAAACCTGTACATTATTAAACCACAGCACTTTCTGGGTAGCAGAACTTGTATTTAAGGCTTTTATAGGTGACATTTTATTGCTGCCTTGAGTATCTACAGCTTCTGTTCAAATACAGAAACACAATATTAGGTTAATATTACAAAGACAGCCTGTTCAATTATTGCTATAGGGAACCAGGACAAAGGAAAAAACCTCACATATTTAAAGAAAGGATAATTAGACAGCACTAATTTCTCTGACCTTGAAGCTTCCCCTTGCAGTAGGGGTGCAYGTTCCTGCCCTCCCTTCCCCAAGCAGTGCTGCATCTGCCCGCTTCCCCACGAGCCGCAGGCGCCGGGATCGCTGCYGCGCCGGGATCGCGCCGGGATCGCTGCCCTTGGCTTCGGCTGCTGCAAAGCGGTGCACAGCGCCTCCTCCCACGGAGCCCCTTTGCGGTCATGTTTTGGGGAGAAAAGGCTGTTTTCAGCTGCCCGTCTCAGTCACGTCACTCAGGAYGAACGATGTTAGCGCTGCACTGGGGGAAGGACAGCCAGGCTCGCGGTCTGCAGATGCTTCACATCAAAACGGACGAGTAAAGGTTACGTGCAAACTGTTGCCTGGGGCTTATGTAATAGCAAAATAACCACTGCTAAGGACAGATGCACCTAGAAAGAACTCCCTGGAAATTACTTTTAATATAAACAAAACAAATCTGCTTATAATTCATGGGTATGACAGACTGATCAGCTTTTTCTCCATGTATTTAAGAAATCAGCATTCAATAAAARTTCACATTACATCAGTCATCTTTGGTAGAACTACACATTTGTGTCAATCACTAGGTAAATATTAGTTCTGGATATTTAGAATGTAAATAGCTGCAAACTAATCTGAGAGCTGCAGCTGCAGCCTCCAACCACACATCACTGAAGAAATACGGGCTCCTGTGAGCAATACTAGAGGTACTTTGAAGAACTAAATGCCAAAAGTTACACTTATTGTAATATAGCATAACACTAGTTTGCCCTGATACCTATTGCTAAAGTGTGCTTATAATCAGCATTATTATAAATTAACAGCAAAATAGCTCCCAATAGGAGTAGGATCTAGCGATAAGAATTTGACTAAAACATTGTTTCCCATCTTTGTCACCTACCTTTAAATTATTAAAACACAGAGAAATTCAACATAATTTTAAAAAGATGCGTCATTTAGAAAAGCAGGCTTATTCCTTATACCATAATTTAAAACTAACGCAGAAGAATAACACGGTGCCGTAAGCAGCACCGTGGAGAGCAGTCAGCGGGCGCGATGCAGGTGCGGCCCCAACTCCTGCTGCGCGGCCCCGGCCCACGCGTGGGTTTCCCTCCCGCGCCGCCTGTCCGACCGTGGCTCCCAGGGCTCCGGCTCATCCCGGAGCGAGCGGCTTGTGCACAAGCCCTGTGTTATTTAGTCACAGTTTGGCTGTGGCGGGGCTCTGCTCACTCCACTGCAGCGCTGGACCAGGCACAGCAGCTCGGGTGTCTCAGAGAGTGCATCATCGTCCGGAACGGTCTCTTCTTCCCCTCTTTAGCAGAAGGTGGTTCCTTATCCGAAGGATCCTCGTTGCTTTTCTCAGCTGGCTGACCAGGCTCTGTCTGGAATTGTTCTATTTGAATCTCGAGGTGTTTCTGAATGGCTAAGCCAAGAACCTCTGGATCCACAGATGCCCCATACACTTCCCATGTCATTCCTTCATCGTCCCACCTCACTTCACGTACTGGAGACTTGGGGGCCTCCAGGTCTGGCTGCAGATTCACCTCTGGGAACACGTGCAGCTGGCTTTCTGCTGCRGCCGCAGGGCTCGTGGCCACAGATTTGTGTTCCAGGGTTGGAAGAGTCTGCACTTCGGCATCTCTGCACTCCAGAGACTGCTTCAGTCCTTTGGTCAGGTCATTCATAGAGGTCATAGTCCACATGTCCTTGGTTTTCATGACGAGGCCTGCCCCGTGCTGGCTGCTGAAGGCAGCGCAGGTGGCCGCTGGAGGCGGCCTGCCCTGCTGGGCACAGCGCTGCGGCTCTTGCCCAGGAGCAGCGCAGCACCTGAGGACCCGCTTGGCATCCAGGCCCGACTCGCTGAGCGATGACACCAGCTTGGGGTAGGTGAGAATGTTGGAGGCAGGAAAGGACTGGCAGTGAGCGGGGAGCGGCGGCTGCTCGCTGACGGAGCACGCCAGGCGCGGCACGAGCTGTATCGCCGGGATGGGCAAGGAGTGGCAGTAGGCAGGCACCGTGGCAGCCGCTCTCACGCAGGACTCCTGCCTCGCGTTGCAGGGCACTGCAGAGTTGTTGTGAGCAGTCATCACCATGGCCGAGTACCCACAGCTCGGGGTATTAGYGTAGGTCAGACCACCCTGCGCAATCCCGGCGGCCTGACAGAACATTGTCCTGCTTGAGAAAGCGCTTGCAGGCACGTGGGGGCCTAGCACAGCCGTGTGAAACGTTCCAGGGTCTGTGTACACGGCAGCATTGCGCGCMATTCCGCTGCTGTCGTAGCTGTTTGTGGGCACTCTTTGGTCTCTAGGTATGGCTGGCAGGTGAGTTGCAAGGTTCTGATAGCGGCTTTTTTCATGTGTTTCTGATCCATATATCTGCCCTTGGAAAGACATCCTAGCCACTGACGGACCATGCCCGCTGCTAGAAGAGTTCAGGGTGGCGTGAGCAGCACTGGCATCTATGTGAGTGATATAACCCTGCTGCCTGCAGCTGCAGGTTAGGTCCGAGTGGCTTCTCTGGAGGGCAGCTCCCACTGCTTCCATTCTACACACGCTCTGCGGGTGCTCAGCGCAGGCAGGAGAAACGTTCTCAGCAGTGCTGCTCCTGACACACATCCTGCTCTCCCCCAGCTCACGGGCCGCAGGGCACCGCTCCGCGACAGCCAGGTGGTTTGTGGCGCTGCTCTGTGCGGCATCTGCAGCTGGCTGGTGGTTCACGGCTCCGGGCGCTCCGGCGGCATCGCCCGCACCYGGGCACACGGTGCTGCTGCGGCTCTTGCGCAGCTCCGCCCTGGCGCCCTGTCCCAGCTCCGGGCRCCGCTGCCCGGCGCACGCCAGGCTCGAGGAGCTCTTGGACAGCGGGTGGCTGCCGCCGCGCAGGGCGCCACAACGAGCGGGGCTCAGCGCGTCCTCGGGCAGGTAGGCAGGGAGCTGGCGGCTGGCGGCCGACATGGCGGGACAGGGAGCAGGATCTGCAAGAAAGAAGTGGGGAGAGAAGGGAAAATCAGAAGCAGTTCAAGGAAACACATGCGCTGGCAACTGCTTACACTCTCTGTTGGCCTAGGGCCTTGGCTTCTTGTTTTTCACAGCTCACAAATACTTTCAGGAAAGCACTGCACTCCGTCTCTGTGTGCGCACACTTATCCACCTCCATTGTCTGTTTCTGCAGGGTTTTTGCCCGGATGGGGTTGCTTTCCACGGGCACAMTTGGAGCAGCAGCAGCAAGGAGGGATGCAGCGACACGCTGGGGAGGTCGCTGGCGTGGACAGTGCCGGGGGGCGGGAAGGGCGCGTGGCACGGGCCCRCTCGTGCCACCCACAGGCTCCCAGCGCCTGCAGGAGGTCGGTGCTCTCCGCTCCAGAAGGCAGGTCACAACAAGACACTCCTTTAACCGAAGTGTTACCGCTCTTCTGTGCTTTTGTAGTGCGCTCCCCTCTATTCTTAGAGAACACTTGCTTCTGCTGGCTGGTATAATGTCGTTTCGGCCCCATTATTCTTACAACTTAGTAACGTTTACGTCAGCACATTCAAATTTAGGAGAGATTGTAATGGAAGTTTTAAATCTAACCAGATACAGTGGAGCATTTTTATTGACTTGGCCAAATCTCGTGCTGACTAGCTACTGACCTTTCCCTCAGCGGTAACTTGTCCTGCAGAGGTACAGGGGAAGCTGAGTGCCCATTTTAGAGGCGTTTCCATCAGACCAACKCTCTGCCACAGAACGTGGCACACAAAAACATTTACACTTTCTCATGAGCTGTTTCCGCTGAGGAAAAGAATGAGCATATGAAACAAGGCTGGTGTTTGTAGAAGTGCTTCACAGAAACACCCTGTAAACCTAACACCTGTGACACCAGGACAGCAGCGAGCTACAGAGGGAAGRGAACCCATTCAAACTTCCCAGGAGAACTGGTTGCAATCCCACTGATGATATGCACAGGCTGGGAGAGCTGGCAAGATACCAGCACAGGCTATGATATTCCCACCCACCTACTTGGGCTATTTTTCCACGATGAAAATACAGCAAGCAAAATAACATTGAAAATAAGAATATTGTCAGTCTCTGAGAAGCTTCTTGCTCCCATGCTTTGCAGCAGGGACTCGCAGCTGGCAGCAAWCCCCTGCAGCACTAACATTCACTCAACACATGCCAACACATAAAAAAACCACATGCCAAGAAAAAGCCATCTTCCCTGCTGAAGCACATCTGCTCAGTTAGAAGTTAAACTCCTTATGGACTTGATCTACTCCGAGTCTGCCCTGTGCTCCAAGCAGTCCCAGGCGAGCAGGCTCCCCAGATCCGTGTGTCCATGGGTGGCAAGGAAAGCAGCTTTGCTCTGGGGAGGGAAGTTAGAACGCGGAGCTAGAGGCTCTGCTGAGCCCAGCCACAACAATCAAAGCCAAGCACTGGCTGCCAGGCTGGCCACAGCTCTGTTTGTGCGTGTTGTCCACAAGCACCTGGAAATGCAGCAAGCTCTGGGAAAGTGACAGCTTGAAAGCCCTCCATCTGCTTCTCCGGCAGGATACCCATCCTGCTGCCACACACACATATGGGTATAGTCTGCATATAGAGTTCAAGGGAGTCAATAGGATTAAACACCAGAGCAGAGCTGTTTGCAAGGTGAAGCACTTGCATTTAATCTCTTTAAAAGATAATACCTGCAAAGGCGCTCTCATACACTGGGATGAAACAGCACTTAATAACAGAAATCCCCAACCCCAAATGCTCCAAGACCCCACGCTGCAGACATCCTCCAGGGCAGGGGAGCTGTGAGGAGCTCTCACAGAGTTTACAACATTCAAACACGTAAATACACACAGACCCCCAGAGCTCTGATCTTTTCATGCTGTTCTTTTTGCAGAAACCTGTTTAAATGGACACAGTGAGACGTTTCAGACTCGTTATTCACCATTTGAACATGAAACAAACACATCCATGTAAATATAGCCCAAAGATTCTGACGTAACTGAAAGCAAAATCCAGTAAAATGCCAATATGGGCACTAATCGTAGCCAAAATTGTAAGCGATCATGGGACAGTGCTGTGTGTATTACACATGTACAAACGCATATATAACATTATAACCAGCAAGCATAGATGCCACTTTAATACTACCTTTGCCCAGCTATACAAGTGTTCAATGCTAACACAGTTGTAACAGCCTACAAACTTCGGACATGAGACAAAACAGGAAGAAACAGCCATCAGTAAAACCAAACAGCATCCCACCAGATACTTTAGGACACAGCTAAGGATGAAAAAGGAAAATTTACCCTGCCGCAAACAAGAGGAATCAGCTCCTTTGGAGTAATGGGCTGCGCGTTCCCGCTGGCCCAGCTCAGCATCACATCATGGGGCCAGCTGAACACCCAGCCACGCCGCTCACCAAGGCCAGCGCAGGGAGGGCCTGGGMACAGACCACCCCTCCGCAGTAATCCAGGCTTACCCGGGGCATTAGCCCCGAGGGAATGTGCCCCTGCGCTGCCTCCCTTCACAGGCTTTGGACAGGGCACTAGTTCCACACCCGCACTCCCACACTCTCCGTTTTACAGGGGCAGGTGTGGAGCTCACTGCCCCGTCCAACGTGACACGAACATCCCCAACCTTCCAGCACGAGCCGGGCCGGGCGGCACGCGGGGCTTGGGGAAGCAGCGGCCGTGTCCCACGGGCGCCCGCGCTCCTGCTCTGGGCACGGCCGGGACATCTGTTRGTCCAAACCAACCAGGCCAGGGCCCGCACACGGACCATCCCACCGTGAATCCAGGGCCAACGGGATGCCATTGCCTCCCGGGAGTCACCCGGCCCAGCATGGATTAGAGACACACCAGCGCCGACACCAGCAGAGCCGACTTAGCGGGTACTTAGGGAGCTGAAACTACTTGTTCTGGGCTTGCCGCGCAGAGAAGGCTGCTTTTCTTAACCTTGTTTTCCTAACTACCTCATTTCTAGGAGGCTATTTTTTATCAAAAAATAAGTTTTGATGATTGAGTTGATCTGAAAAATTTAAGTTTGGAAATTCAAAGGAAACCTGCACCTGGAAAGGCAAACCTGAAAACAGGAACTTTGACACAGATATTCAGCTATGGATATATCTAAAATTGTTAGGCAAGAGGAGAAAGGATTAGGATAGAAATGGAATTAACATCCACTATTTTTGGCTTAGCTTCAGATAGCTTATGAGGGGATCTAGGCTGCTTTCACTAATTCCACTGAACTACTTTAAAGCAACAAATGTGTATTTTGCTATGACTTATGATTAAAGTTGTGACCTATATAATGCTGTAATAAGTTTCATCTCAAAATATTTAGTACCATGTATACTATCAATTGAAGGAGATTCACTGGCAAATACAAYGCCCAAATTATTCAACATTTTCATATTTCAGTGTATATACTTTCAATGAGAGCTTTAATAAGAGAACACAAGTAGATATAAAAATGGAATAATTCATGACAATCACATCAATATAGAGAAAATGCTTTCATGTAATATAGAATTATCATGTGTTACTATGTAATCATATTCAGCTCCCACATTTTTTATTAGCTTGTGATTCTCCAAGGGAAAAACTTCCTCTTCCCTGCACTGTGCAGCTTCACAAGAGTGATGATTCACAAGATAGGATAAGCAAAACATCCACAAAAAACCCTCAGTTTCCATTAGTTCCAATTAGAACAACCACAGAGGACATTGGCATACATACAAGTATATGTTAATACCAAAAGAAGTTTGGTTATATTATTTCTTCCAAGCAGCAACAAAGGAAACTATAGAAATGCCAGGAGAGAAATACAGCTGCTGGACTGGTTATCCAAGGAAAAGATTTCTCATTTTAAGTAGTCTCAAGCAAAAACCTGCACCTTAACTTGGCACATGATCCCACAGTGACTGTTCCCTTGTACATGCTCTTACTGCACTAACTAAACACCCTGCGATGCAGTTACAAGTTCGTAATGAATTGATGAGTTAGCTGCAGAACTTGGGGAGACAAAGAGGATTTGGGTTAAGATCTCATGACGTTTGCTAGAAAAACGTATACAATCCCGGATAGTCTTGGAACTATTTCTCTATTTTTTCTACAGTTTGTTTTTCCTTTGTGCAATCCTGTTCTCAAGCCACAGATGGGGCCTGTAATAGCAAGTGCAGATTGTTCCTTCTTCTCGGGTCTTACAAGTAGGGAAAGTAAGAAAAGAAAARCTCTCTTCAAGTTTACTGTTGTGCCTTCAGAACAGCATTGAACTGGAGAACAATAAAATGAGTCAGCTTCAGAGGTGAAAGCATTAACATGCAAGCATGGACCTTGGAAGAGTCAGGTAGTTTAATATCCATGCCGTAATTTTGAGGAGACGGTGCGCTCCTGAGCACCACGAAGACCAGCCCTTGGAGGAGACACGGGTGCTCGGGGGCTGGCAGGCTGCAGCCTAAGGTGTGCTGCTTCCTCTGCCTCATTCTGGCCTTGCTGTGCATCAGCGGGTGCCAGCCTGGGCACTAACAGCTTCTCAAGGCAAACACAGACTTTCTGAAGGAGCACCAAGCAACAAGGCACATTCACRGATGTTTTATACCAAATGAACAGTGTGATTTTAACTAACTTACGAGATTTACCCCAGTAGAARGCTGCTATATCTAGGCTCTTAACTATTTAATCTTATTACAAACTCCTTGGTTAAAAATTTGAAAAGGCAAGAGCTGTTTACAGTTAAAATTAAGAAACTTTGTGACCATTGTAGCTGTGCAAAGCCTTGCAACCAAAGTGGCAGCTGCCTGTCAGCCATGAACATTGGTGACACCTGCCTTGTGACACGACACAGCACACAAAAACACCAAAGCTAAACACCTAAAACACCCCAACGCTGGGCRCCAGCCCCCACGCAGCACGTTAATGAAGTGCCTCAACAGACCCCCATCTTTATTGGAAGTAGTGCATCTTCACTGTAGGTATCTCCAACT